CCCCAAAACCCCAAAACCCCAAAACCCCAAAACCCCTTTTAACCACAAGTTTATTAATTATTTAAATGGAGCAAAGATCTTTTCAAGACGACCAGAAAGAGGTCGCAGAACCTGTACTAGGTGCTGGTGCTAAAAGGAGTGATGACCCTCAGGAGAGAAAGGAAGATGAGCGTCACTCTATCAATCTTCAAGATCATAGAGAAAATTCTGAGAGACCATTAACTTCTAAGAAACATGAAGGTGGATTTAATCCTGTAAGACAAGATTCTCAAAGGATTAGTGATATCAAGTATTCTGAAGAGAAAGAAATTCAGAACCAAATCATCTCCCTGAAATCAAGATTTGTCCGATATGTTTATTTGATAGTTTTGTTCCAGGTTTCTGTGACATTCTTCCTCAGCTACATCTGTAGTGACAATTACGACCTTTATAAAGTGGTCAACAATATCTTAGTGATAATTCTCAGCTATGTTGCTCTCCTTGCCTGCTTGCTAGTGTTCTTCATGACAAATATATCTCAAGTGTTTCCCTATAATTACATTCTACTCCTATTATTCACTCTATGTGAGTCATTTGTGATAGCTGGGTGGACTTCAGACATGAAGACTGATACAGTGATCTTGTGCTGAGGAATGTGCTTCTCTACAACGCTAATCCTGACCTTCCAGATTTTCACTATGAAAGAGACCAGCAAGAGCAAAGGGCTCTTCCTAACTCTTGTCATAGGAATAGTAGTGCAGATCATAATTGCGTTCTTTTTGATCTCAAACACATTCCTGAAGTTGCTCACCGTAGGACTGGGTGTCCTAGGGTACGGCTGCTTCTTGATCTTGAACACTAACAAGATCAGCAATGAGCTGCCCTTGGATGAGTACATCCTTGGCAGCCTTCTGCTGTACATTGATATCTTGACCTTGTTCGTGTACCTACTTAAGCAATTTGGCAAAAAGAAGAGATAATTATTTCAAAATTCTACATTGCTAAATCTTTGTGGGGTTTTGGGGTTTTGGGGTTTTGGGGTTTTGGGG